GCGGGAGCCTCGCGTGCCGCCGCCGTGGAGGCCGGCAAGGCCGGGCCGGCTCCCCCGGGAGAGTCGACTCCCGGTGGGCGTCGGCCTGGAGACGTCCGCGGAGCGCGGCCCGAGAACCAGGCGCGGGACGCGGAGCTGTAGCGCCGCCTCTCCCTGCGCGCCTTTGTTGCTCTGCATTTATTTTTCCAACGGTAAGAAGGGAGGACGGATGCGCCCGCGTGTTCCTGTGCTCCGTAATCCTCGCGTGGCAAAGCCCGCTGAGAAAACTTCTCTGCTGCTTCAGACAAGCCAGCGCCGAAGGATCTGGCCCGAGAACTACCAAGCCGTGCTACCTTTTCCTCTTCAGAAGCAAGAACAGAGACGATTTATTTAGCAAGAGTTTGTGCTAGTGTGTTTTCTTGTTTGATTATAGGCTGGGGTTTATTGTTAGACAATCGAGCAATTTGGGAGGAAAGAAAAACCCCAGGTCCACGCGTGAGCTGGAGTGAGTGCTTCGCCCTGGCCAGCAGCCTCTGCATTTTGAAAGTAGAGGCGGAACTAAAATACCCGCGTGGTTTGCGGGTGAACTGCTCCCCTGAACGCTAGATACCCCTGCGTATTTAAGGTCGTGAAGAAGAGAAGTGAGACGGTATTGTTCAAAAGAGCAGCCCACCGGGACAGGTAGCACACTGTAACTCCAGCTGCTCAGAAGGCTGGGGCAGGGGGATCGCACGGGCAGTGTGAGCAATCTAGTGAGTTAGACACCTCAAAATAAAAAGGACCAGGCGCTGACGGGGTGGTGCACTCTTGTAATCCCAGCCCTCTGGGAGGCTGAGAACAAGTTCGAGCCCAGCCTCCTCCAATTAGCAGTTAAGCAAAATCCCGTCTCAAAATAATTAAAAAGGGTTGTGGACATAACTCGGTACAAAGCCAGTGCAATCCTAGTAACAGGCGCACACGCGCGCGCGCGCGCACACACACACACACACACACACACACACACACACACACACACGCAGGTGCACGCATGCGCTAAAGCATGTCCCGAGTAGGTCTTCCGAGAGCTTTCCTGAAGTTAATGCCCTAAAGCAATATTCTTGTTCTTACTATATGTAGAGAAATACATGCATGAGTCCTAGTAAATTGTCCAGCTTTTGGTTAAGATAAAAACAGTCCTCCTTCAAGCAGAAGAACGCCAGAGACTAGGTATTTCTTAAAAAGTTTTCTTGGTAAGATTTTAATTCGGGGAGAAAGGAGTTTTACACAGTGTATGTAGGTACACAAAGAAAAAGGAGACACCGGAAAGAAAAATACCTGTAGTGGGTCTCTTCAAGTAGAAGGGTTATGAGTAATTGGATGACTTTTTTTGGTTTTTGTTTTTTTCCGGTACCAGGAATCGAACACACGACCTTGCCCTTGCCAGGCAGGTGCTGTGCCGCTGAGCTAAATCCCGAGAGCCCCTGGGTGACTTTCATTGTCATTGTGCTTATCTGTAATTTTTATGTTCTGCTCTGTAGTTTTGTGGATTCCTTCCTTCCTGGGAAAGGAAAAGAGAAAAAGAACCCCTGATGCCTAAAAACAGGAAGACTTTAACTCCCCGTACAGTTTAAATCATTACCACCCAAGCACGTGTCTGGGATCTCCTGAAGTCATTCATCAAACATGCCAGCCAGTCATTCAGTAAATATTTCTTGAATGGATAAGTGGTAGGAATTTAAACGAGGGAAGATCCTTCTGTCTAAAGTTGCTTGGCAGGGCTTCAAGGAAGAGGCTGAATCAGAGGGGTACGGGGCGGGCAGGACCGGGCCTGCAATCAGGGAGGGGCAGGCCCAGCTCCCTGAGGGGGAAAGCCTGGAAAAGTAGGCTCCTTCAGTGGCGTAAAAGATACAAAAGACTCTGAAAAGATGGGAGGAAAGCAGATTGTAGAGGGCCTCGTGATTGCTTGATTGACACTAGTAATTATTTAATTCATTATTTGCAGTTACTTAGTGCCAAGTGTGTTCCCCTGGAGGGCAGGGACCCGTCCGGCCGGTTTTCCCAGCTCCCCGAGACCTAGAGGGTGCTCGGCGTGCAGTTGACTGTCAGGACATATTTTGCAACTGTACGGCCACATTAGCAGCAGCCTAGGAGGTCTAGGTTTTGTTGAGCACGTAGAAGGTTATCCGCGCAGGCCCTGGGACAGTCAGACTTTTCCTGTGTGAAGCCTGGGGTGGGTGAGGAGAGGTTCCACTGTGGATGGAGTCTGCAGCTTAAGCAGTGGAGAACAGAAATCATGGAAACGTCTGAGGAGATGGGTAGCAAAGAGAAATTCCAGCCAGAAGAGGGGAGAGAGTAAAGCGGGGAGGGAAGCTACTGAAGTGAAAAACCCAGGAAGAGTCACCAGGCTTTCACCACTGTGAGAGTCTCCGGCTGAGGGCTGACAATGGCAAGAAAAAAGGAACATTTTCTGCCGGGCGTGGTGGCGCACGCCTGTAATCCCCGCACTTGGGAGGCTGAGGCAGGAGGATTGTGCGAGTTTGAGGCCAGCCTGGGCTACAAAGTGAGCTCAAGGCCAGCCTGAACTGCACAGTGAGACCCTGTCTCAAAAAGACAAAAGAAAAGGAGGGGGCTGGGGATTTAGCTCAGCGGCACAGCCCCTGCCTGGCAAGCGCAAGGTCGTGAGTTCAATTCCCGGTACCAG